AAGGTGGCAGTACTTCCCTGGATGAACTCTTTCACAAGGAACGCTACTGCTACTAATAATTTAAAAAGTCGCGAATTAGGGCTCCTTCAGAAAAGTTGTTCAGGGTCATGGATAGAGTCAGCTTATGAAATTGCAGACATATTTGTGCTATCAGCCTGTATACGCATATTGCAATGAAACTTATATAGTATACATTTAAAGACACGATTAGTACTGGTATATAGAAATAATGGACATACCACCACCATCATACGTTACAAAGCAGTTTGCGATATAGTGCGAATTAGCAAGAATTTAGTCATCGGCAATGTCGTCAATGACATTGTTTAACAAGTGTTGCTAACTGTTATAATTTGTTATTCGTTTTTGTTATTGATTCCCGATAAGCAGATTTTGATAGACTAAAATATTTTGTTTTGGATTCAAGATAATTTCTAGTGATATACATTTATATAAATAAAAATAATTATGTACTTCAATTCCTACACCAAAATTAGGAACCGCCTAGAAATGATTATAAACCATTGCAGTGAAGTCTCATGATCATGATGGTAACAATGATTTTTTTTTATGATACCATGTGACGGGACGAACAAGTCGTGCGTATGGTGTTAAGCGACACGCCTGTCCATGGTAGCTGCAATACCGTTGAGAGCTTTAAATCGCAAAGATCTGAGAGACATTGCCAAAGTGCCTGTCACACTGAGACATAAGTTAAAAAGTCCCATGTGCCCGTTGACTTACAATTATATGGACGTCGGGTCCGCGCTAAAAAGTGTCCTAACTTATAGGGCGTTAAAATCGTATACAGATCGTCATTCACGCTTTAGTCTTCGTTTGTTCGACTGACAGCGAAGCAAGCAAAATTAGACAGTACTGCGATGACATTACAATTTAAATTCAACATTTTAGCTTTTTCATATTCCTTTACATGTCACTACGTTTAAATAGGTTGACTTGGGACATTTTAATCGTGGTTTTTGTATTAGACCCGTCGTCCATATAATTGTAAGTCAATACATGTGCCTGTAATTTCACTTAGGTACACCTTTATTTACCCTTCAAAACCGGGACGCATTTATGCTCGCATTACTGCTTGGAGGCAGAAATAAGTAAGGTGGCAACATTTCCCTGGACGAACTGATGGTATTGTCAATGTGTATATGAGGGGCATGATCGTTATAAAAGTAAACGAATACTTAACATTTAATTGAATGGAATTTAACTCTAATTGGCTTATCAATTAACGTTTTCAGACTTTCGTATTTAATCTATTCACATTGATTACTGGTCACAAATTTCTTACCACGATGTGAGTTATTGTTGGTGTAGAAAAACAACAAAATGTTTTGAATTTTATGCATATAAAGTGGCCATCCACTTTATATCCAAAAAAAGTGGTAGTCGCCTCCCATTGTCCACCATTTTTTTTCGGACAATTATAGCAATACTACACACCTTTCCTACTTACTTTTTAGTAGCAGTAGAGCTTCTTGTGAAAGAGTTCCTCCAGGGTAGTATTGCCACCTTACCTATTTCCGCCGCCAAGCAGTAATGTCAGCATTACTGCGTTCCTGTTTCGAAGGAGAACAGTGCTGGTGAAATTACAAGTCAACTTATGTCTCAGAGTGACAGGCGCAATGGCCGTGTCCCTCAGAATTTTGCGATTTAAAGCCCTGTAAATGTTATAGGTTGTTCGTCCCGTCACTTGGTAACATAAAAACAAAATTATTGATACTAAATGACGGCACGAACAAGTCGTGTGTCTGGTAGTAAGCGACACACCTTTTCAGAACACTTGCAGAGCCGTAACTTACAAAGGTCTGAGTTACATTGCTTTTGCGGCCGTCACGCTGAGACATAAGTTGACAAGTCCCATGTGCCTGTAATTTCACCAGCCCTTATCACACTTACTAGTTCTCACCTGTTCATATCAGATACCTCCAGGAAAATAATGTAGACTGTAATTTATGCTAATTGAGTATAACATGATTCATATTTCAAACATGTGTAATCAAGCGCTAATGCGCCAGCGATTAAAATGATAAGAAATAGATTTTCATGGTATCAGGGAGGTGTGGAATGTGATGTCATAACAGGCCATTGAAGGAATAAAATTTATAATTTCCTGTTGAATAATCAAGTACCTATAATCTTCTAATTGAAACTCATGTTTATAACTAATAACTAACAATTCACTATAACTGGAATGATTGTCAAAGTGTAGGTACCAGGGTGATTTGCTGAAGCAAGTTTTTACACATCAGAGAATCCTGATGCGGATGTTCTAATTTTAGGTATTCAAAATACGCGAAAAATGTACACCCTTATTGAATCTATCTACATGAAAAAACTTTCAATTTTTTGTTTTATTTTAACTTATTGGAAGAATAACGGCTACCTTACAGAATAAAAAATGAAATAATAATGGAGAGCCTTTAATTGATCCTCACTGATAGACACATTTTAAGGTAATGCGCATTAAATTATAACTATATAACTAGTAAGTATACAATATATAGATAATGGCATTTTCGCAACAGTAAATACCTACTCGCCAAAAAACAAACTACTAATAAGACGCTTCCCCGATGCAACATTAGTGTTAAAAAGGTCATCACCAACCTGTTTGGACAATACATTGAAGCTATTACTCGCACGCAAGAGCTTTGCATTCCGCCGAAAATTCGAAGAGGCCAGAGGTACACACAATCTTTGATGTTGTAATAAATAATTATATCCATGGATTTGTAATTTTTATTAACAAAAAATCAATGGTGAAAACAATCAATCTGCGTAACTTGATGGTTGTGGAATTTTATCAAAGTTATATGTTAAAAATAGCAACAACACAACAACAGCTCATGCTACAGGTATTTTACAATATGGGGCTACAATCAGCAAGCTTAATGCTGAAGTGGGGTCCAATCCTTAGCAAATTGTTTTTTTAATTTGTCTAGTGCGAGAATTAAATATTAACACGATTTATTAGAAAATCGATAGGTATCGAAATGGATTTTATTTAATAATTACCTACCCTTGGAAAAGGAATGGAGGTATTTCCCAAGTTACTGCGTAGAACATAATATATAAATACGCACGAGTTAGCAGTAAATGCAAAATAGAGATATATTGCTTGGTGAACTAGACAAGTTCAAAAAACATTACGGAATGTACTCATCCCTTCATTATTTTAGTAGCAGTAGAGCTACCTGTGAATGAGTTCGTCCAGAGAAGTACTACCACCTAACCTACATCTGCCGCCCAGCAGTAATGCAAGCGTTACTACGTTCCGGTTTCGAAGGGTGCTGGTGAAATTACAGGCACATGGGGTTTGTCAACTTAAGTATCAGGGTGTCCGACGCAGTGGCAGTGTCCCTCAGAACTTTGTGATTTAAAGCTCTGAGTGTCACTGGAACGGTTTATTTGCGCACGATTTGTTCGCCCCGTCCTTTAGTATTATAAAAAAATAATAAATTATACCACTTAAAAAGTACTCGTGTAATTGGTATCATGAAATATCTTTTACGAAATTGAACTTTGTACAGCGAAGAAATTGAAATCCGAGAAAATAATGTTAATAATCTAAAACATCTTTGATAATGATAAGATATTTTCGTATGGCACGCATATCGTGATTCCACAAATTTAGATTTCTGCTTAAATAGCTCTGATAATAGATTAATTTTATTTATATAACGCTCATACCTTCAACAAAAAATCAAAATGATACTGTACACAATTTTTTCTAGACATTTCCAAAACAACGATGATAAATTTACGGCTCTGAACTCTAATACGTACTTTGCAACTGGGGACAGGCAAGAAGTAGGTAATAATGTCTACTTCCTTCCTTATACACGCTTATTGGTTGTGGGGTTGGATAGAGATTAAGTGTGTCGTGGTACCATTGGTTCCATTCGCGCATGCGCACTTTCGAGTTATGCCTCCATCTTTTTAGTAGACCCCCTTCTTCCCCCTTGCCCCTACTTTCATATCTTCACAGACCTTTCATCTAACTTTAAGTATGTGTCACTGAACAGAAAGGTGACATTGACAGCATCTTTGTGGCAGAACAATCGAGGAACCTAGATCAGGGTCCCCAAATTTTTTCTTTTCTTTCATTCACTAAGAAAAAATTATTTCGATCCGGCTGGATTCGAACCAGCGTCTTCCAGCAAACCGTGCTAGACGCTGTGCCAACTAAACCACGGAGAGAACCAACAGACCTTACGAATTTTTCTATGTGCTTCTTGCATATCTTTGTTTTTGGTTTTTAACCGTAGCGCCATTTGTGAAACGTATTTCTTCGCTCACCCTTAATTTGAAAAAAAAAAAAATTACAAATTCATTGACTTAAATCTGTATGTGACAGCTGACACAGTGCTATTAGATAAATTTAAATGTCAAGTGAAAAACTTGGATTATTAACACTTATAGAAAGTTAAAAGCCTCGACCTGTCTAAAAGGGTCCACACCCGTGGACCTCGTCTACATCTCGTGCCTCCAATTTATTTTCTCTACTATGGCGGCTTTTCAGGTTGGAGAAGGTCGATGTAAACCTCTTTGAGAATCATCGGAAAACGTGTGTATATATGTATATAGATACATGTTTAGATATAGCTACAAGGAACGACATAAAGTTGTTAAAACCATTAAATATTGATTAATTACTGTTTCGAATTCCGGATTTCCGGATGAAAGAAACTCCTCTCTTTATTCTATTTACGAAGATAAATAAATAGCCTTACCCACGTAAGGCCGACAAAAATGGCACATTTTCGTTTTGTTTAAGCATTCAGCAGTTATTTAGGAATAACTTTTGATGTCAACTTATCATCACATCCTGTTTCGATTCTCGATTGTAGCGTAAAAGTGTTTCAATTCGATTTGTTGTCTACAGGTGCGCGATGCGGCTACAACGGTGGTAGTTTGCTGGAGGGCGGCCGGATGCGGCTCGCGCGCGCCCGTCCGCCCGCCGCCTCCGTCACGTAGCGCCCTGCGCGCCCCGCGCGCTCCCCGCGCGCACCGCGCTCGCTCCCTGCAAGCGCACTATGCGCATGGCACGCGCCCTCTCCACTCTGCTCGCGGTAAGTATTACGTATCAAATATTACAAGAACGCTAAATCGCGTTTGGGCACTTCTTAGTTAAGGCGATGTACTTCAAGGCGAGGATACATTTTTGGAGGCGAGGTGTGGGGAACCGCCCTTTGAGTCCCGCAACCCGCGAGCTGAACGCTAATATGAATAAAATAAGAACAGGTGGAGAAAATTTGACACAGATCCGTTGTCGACAAGCGCCCGATAGCGATTAACGGGGCAGCGGGCGGCGCAGCGTGTCGTTAAACAATTTTCAAATTTGGAATAAATGTGAATTTAATAACTACAGGGCTTCAGTTGCAAGCCAAAATTTAGCAGCTTCTCTGTAGTGCTTAAAGAGAAATATCTCCATGTAAGAATTAGGAGCAAACTTAGATATTTTGTTGTTAAATAATTCGTTTCAAACTTTTATTTTAGTCCGTTTTCAGGATTTTGTATGATCGGATAAAGTACATCCTAGTGTGTAACAAATTAGTACGTTCTTTAGACGATATTCTTAGCAGTATCGTATATTTTTGTTAGACCGTTATTTAATAGTAAATACCTAAACTATTTGATCTAGCAAAACAGTTTGTCTCGCTTCTCCTCTCATGACTCACCAAAACGGTAAATCAAGAAGAAATGCTTTGAGGTAGTTGCCTAACTTCAGTGGTACATTTAACATTTTTCGGATTTAAATCGCGTATATTTAAACAAACCAACGTTTCAGGCTGACTGATTTCTTTATTTCAGGAAAAGCATTGAGATATAGAGGGAAACAATTTAAATAAGACCGTGTTAGTTAGGCAACTAGATTCCCATTACTTAAGTACCGAAACCATAAGCCATTCTGGAAAACAGCTCACTTGCGATTCAATTTCTAATGTACAGTTGTGCTTGAAGCTGATAAATCTTATAAATCGTCCAGTTTGAAATTTAGTTAAAGAAGGTACTATAATTCCAGCTTCTTATGCTTAGTTTCTACAAATACTTACTAGAGTGGTTTACATAAATCCGATGATACGACATTCCAAATTAATGGAACCACGATGTCTGCCGCAAACCATCAAATTAAACATAACAGAAACTCTAACCCGATTTTAACTACTCAACAAAACTAGTATTGCAACTATTTTGACTATTTCGTTGAAGAACTCATTTCATATTAATCACTCCGTTCCGGAAACAATTCGTAATTAACTGCAATCGACATTTAATGTGTTCCCTCTTTAAAAAGGAGATATACAGTTATAAGCACTTTAAGTGTAATAATTGTTTTATACGGCATAGCTTGTTGCGTCGTACTAGGGGCGATATTTGAACTAAATGTCCAGCTTAATTTTTTTTTCATTTTATTTATATTATTAATTTCTTAAATATGGCGACAATGCAAATCAACACACCGTATTTGTTTAATTTATTTATAATCAGGTTACATAAATACGTACCTTATAGACTAACATACATAATAATATAAGTAACTACTAATTATTTACACGCATGGACTGCGACGTGTGAACACTATGCGGGTGTCCGGTAACTGACCCCGGAAAAGTCGGTACATGACACCCTTCGGCCAAAACTCCTCCTTCGTGAAGGTCGATAGTTTGTTCTGTTGGTACTCTCGAAACAAATTAATTAAGATTCACATCGTGCTGGGCCACCAACCACACTACTCTCAGAGTGAAATTGGTTTTCACTTGTGTATATACCAGTGAAAACCAATGTGAAAATTAACAATATCCGCAGACTTTGTGGAGTAATAAAGACGTGTCACGTATAAAAACAATATTATCAATTTACTTACCAAATAAATTTTACATTAACTGTAAATAAATAACAGTATAATCAAAAACAATAGTCTTTATGTAATTTTGACAAATAATAATAACCGTTATTTCAGACATTTACAACCAATAATATTTGTAATTATTATAGGTTTGTGTTTATTACGTGAGTGGATACTCTGCCTATACAGTGCAAGTATTGAGGACTCCCACTAATCTGCCAGTATACTCAGAATGCCGTTCGTGCTGAGACACATATGATTTAGCAGCGATGCTTTAAGATCCATGTCATGTCGTATGGGGAGGTCAAGGAGCTGGTTTATAAATGAGATAACTGGAAGATGCTCCACCGACAAGAGTACGACTCTTAAGTTCGACGATGATGATGTTTTAAAATCCGTCACCACATTCTTATGAGCAAATAGGGTTGACGCGCTACAAAAATATAGCAATTTTTTATGTACCTCAAGGCGTCTTATAATTCATTAAACAAGCCGTGTGCCTGTTGTTAAACGATACGCCTGTCCTTAGCAGTTGCAGTGGTACTCAGAGTTTTAAACCGCATACATCTGAGGGATACTGCCACTGCGCACGTCACCCTCAAACACAAGTTAACAAGTCCCATGTCCCTGTAATTCCACCAGCACCCTTCAAAACCGGAACTCAGTAATGCTAACATTACTGGTTGGCGGCAGAAATAGGTAAGTTGGTTTTCCCTGGACGAACTCTTTCACAAGAAGCTCTACTGCTGATACTAAAATAACGCCTTGCCCTAACACATGTATAATAAAGGAGACGTGATCTGACGTCAAAAATCATAAAAATAATACGAACTGCATGAAACAAATTATCGTCTGTTTAAAAGTAAAATATATAAGTAACATTTTCCACAAAAAGTTTTTAATTTATATAGCTATGGTAAGAAAATCACTATCTTTCTGGCCATGAAACTCAATAACGAAAAAGCTATAAACTTAAAGAAGAGTTTTATCTGCAGAAAGATGGTGAACTTCTCTGGTACATCATTTGGAGATTTATGGTGGAAAATGTCACTTAAGTGATTTTACCTTCAAACAGACTTTATGCATATTTGTATTTGTATATTATGTGAAATTTTATAACTCTATTTACGCATTAAAAAGTTATCGACTAATTCTCGTAGCTCGTACAATGTTTAAACGTTTCTTTTGACAAGTGTCATTTTCAAATGTGGCCTTATTATATTAGAATGCTAATTCCGTCACGGTATATCGATAATCACGTTTTTTGTATGACAAGGTATTTTATATGATTTTTCACGATTGGTGGAAATGGTTTGACAAAGGATAACATAAGCTAATCTCGCATTTTTGTATAATAAAATGGATTATTTACATCATAATATAGATTATAAAATGAACCAAACTGTGCAAATAACTGTTTTATCGTCAAATAACTTAAAACAAACTTGCATTTTCTTCAAACAAAAATTAATTATTGTTTTTTTTATTTTTTTGTACAATAACTCCATTAGTTCGTTATAATTATTTACGTTCTTTTTGCGCCAATTCAGATTTTTTTTAAATTGTTTTTTTACCTCCTGGACACAGTATAGGTTAAATAAAGACCGAACACAACAAAAAACCTTCGATCCGACAGGACTCGAACCTGGAGCTGTTACATCAATTCGTGCTAAAGAGAACGTTGAATTACATTTTATAACGAGTTCGAAAATTTTAGTACAGTGTGAATGAATTACCAGTTTGTCACTAATTTTAAGAATTATTACGAAATATGTTGTTTTCAATTAATATAACTAATAATTTGTTTTTATAGAACGAGTTCGTTCCATTCACGTTTTGTTAATGAGGTGATAATTGCTGGTTTTGGCTTAGAATTATATTATTCAAGTCATAAGCGTAAATAAGTTATCTAATATTTCGTTTACAATAAATTGGATAATTTGTCACGTTTACACCTAAGATAGGGTTTTATAGTTAGTGAGGTATTTTTACTACTTCCGTAACATTTACGTGTCTACATCAGTTGCCGAATGGTCCATACAGTTCCCTTACCACTCTAGTAAGTATTAAAAAAAATAACTTTGCAGTGTTCACCGCTTACTTTGTACATTAGCTTGCCTTATCCAAACATCCACCTTTCCTCTCTGGTCTATGTTGTATGTAGGCCATGCAAAGATACATGGCCTATATAAAGTGTTATATATAGGGTGCAACAAAAAGATTCGACCGTGTGCAGTTTTTAATTGTAGGTACTAATGATATTTTGAAAAAAAAAATATTTTTGTTCTTGATACAAAATGTAATATACCGTTTCTAATTAGAAATTTGTGTACGAAACCATAATTAAAGATTATTTTTATTCTTATTATTTTCTTAAATTTCTTCGTTTATGAGTACGATAAACAGGTAAAATATTATCGGTACTTCATGTTACACCCTGTACTTATGTAATATTCTTCTACAGCATATACATAGATAAAAGTTCCAACATATTCTTTATTTGGGTGCTGTGTAGTAGGCAGAGTTTTACGACATTTTACCAATTGGTACCGCAAGGCGTCCTAGTTTTAATTTAACAAATCATTTACGAGTAGTAACAGTAGTCATAGTATGTATTTTTCTAAGTACTGTATGTTTTTTCATTATCCTTTTGAAATGGTTTGACTAAGGATAACATAAACAATATATTGAATAGAAAACAATAAATTAGAAAGTAGTCGATTATCACATCGGGCGGTCGGATACACAGCAAACTATAAAAATGTGACGGCAACCAAATATCGCAAATTGGATGTTACTTAGGAAAGTTGAAGTTTTTTTATCACCCAGTATTATTTTATTGTTGCATTATGATGCAATTCACTGTAAATATGTAGATTATTTATTTAAGTTTTCAATTAAATTATCATTCATTCTTAAGTTGAAGATAAAATATTTCAATTCATACGTGTTACCGATAATGTTCGTTCAAAATTGATAATAATGTAATGTTTCCACCATAATCTGTGTGCGAATAAATTAATGGTAAATGTGTAAGATTGATTTAAAACGTATTTAAACATTTATTAATTGCAATTAATTTATCGAATGAATTTGATAATATATAAATTTGATAATATATATTATTATTGCACCAAAAACACATCAGAAAACATAATTATAGAAAAAGTGAGCAAAGGTGGACTTATCTCTAAAAGAGATCTCTTCCAACCAACCCAAACA